AATATTTTCCTTCCCTGAGATCTGTAATAAAAATGCATTAGCATAAAAAGTTATTCAGGTGGTCACTTGTTGAATTCCTATATTTTGGAACCATGTACTTTTTCTCATATCAATAAAAAAAAACCTAAAAAAAAATAACAATAAACTTTACAAAGATGTGATATTAAAATAATAATAAGTAATTAACCGTTACTATAATCATTATGAGACGGATGAAGACGAACGTAGCTGGAGTGTACTTGCTCTTAATTTTAATTTTTCGATAAGAAAATAAAAAAGTTTAATTGCAAATTAAAGGTGATTGCCTAATGCACCGCCTCTGATAATTAGGTTGTCTGTACTTACTTATGATAATATCTTGAAGAAGCATTTTCAACAGGCCTTTTACACATAAAGCATGTTTTCACCATATTATTAGAGATAATAAATTTTAAATATACATTTACAACCTTTACAACGTTATAAATAATAATATTTTCCGTAAAATACAAATAAGAAATTGACATGTGTCAGAAAGTGTCAGAACTGGCGCTCACAGAAAACTTCTGGCGCTGTCAAACTTGGCAACGCTGATTAAATAAGCCAATTACAGAAGAGGTATTTTCCCCCTCGGGGGGAGTAGATGTTGCTAACAAAATTTAGCGCGGGGAAGGGGGGAAGACTCCCTCTAGTAGTAATTACTCGGAGTTTTAAATGGAAATAGAAAACTCCGCCATTTTGATCCTTTATTACGTGTTGCCTACATCTTGGCGCAATATTTTTAATAGGTGCGTTTTAATCATCCGCTTCTGCTTCGGAATTGTCGGTTTTCTTGTTTTAATCTGACAGGTTAAAACGACTAAACCGACAATTCCGGAAGCAGAAGCGGATGATTAAAACGCACCTGATATTTTGCTTGCTGCTGTCAGTGTCAGTGCATATTATTTTTGAAGTCACAGTTTATTGCTAAAGAATCAGTTAGCTCACTCGGACTAGTTGAAAGTTGCAAAATAACATCCAGTCCAGGGATACAAATTCAGGATACGCAGAAGACTGCTGTTTTATTATAGGCGGTTGTCATATATTGTATTATCCGAGTTGCGCAGTGTATAAATTGGAACATTGAGATCAAAAGTGCCGGCGCAGAGTGAGCGATCTGATTCTTTAGCTATAAACTGTGGCATAGGAATCAAAATGGCCGCGCCCTATGTTGGGCGTGTCGGACCGCACCGTATAGTAATCAAAGTATGTGCTTCTACTACAGACTTGAAATTAATCAGTGACGTCAAGACATCAATCACTGATGGAACAATCGTTGAATAAAAGAACACATCTTTTCTGTACTATTTGACGAATTACATTGTTATTTGACAGATAACAATCGCTACAAGGGTCGTTTGGAGTCAAAAGTATAAATTAGGCTAGACCAATCGATTGTACCCATAAAATGATCATATTTGACAGATATTACCCGAGAATACCGATCAAGGAGAAGCGACAGCTTGTTGTTTTCAGTGTACCGTTTTGATACGCGCATGTGCGAAAATAAGTTATGTATCACTCAAAATTATGTTATCTGTCAAAGTCAGTCCAAGTTGTTTTTAGTCTGTTAAGTGATATTTTTTGGTGTTTCTTTGTGTTGTAATAGAATGTCTGGATCTGGATATTTTTGTGCATACCGTTCTTGTTCGTTTACTTAATTTTCCAAAGGACTACGAACAGTAAATACAATGATTATTAATTGCTATTAACCCTAACTACTTCAATGTAATTAAATCACATTACAACATTTGCGCATGGACTATAACAAGGATTTCAGATAATTTGCCAAACTATTTCGCTCAGTGTAGAAAATAAGCATGTTTTCTCAGCGTATTAAGTTGTGTATTAATCAAAGTCATGCTGTGAAAAAGGTCCATCCGATATTAAAGGCACCGACAGCTACTGTCGCTTCTCCTTGATCGGTATTCTCGGGATATTACGATTTTATTTAGTAAATGACAGTAGTATTTAACAGACAGGACAGTACTATTTAACAAATGACAATTAGAGAGTTATCGCCAAATTTTTGATCAAATACGGTATTCTTATTTTGACAGCTAAACATGCGCATTAATATTGTAACGTTTGTTTAATTTATTTATAATGTATTTATTTAAAAACACTATTTACAATTTATTTATAACGTACAATTCTAATTTATTTATTACAATTTATCTTTACTGTCCAACACTTAAATTCAATCTTCCTGTCCATTGACAAACTCGTGCTATTTACAATACGTCAGCGGCATACCTAGAAGATTCCAATTTCGACCATGAGTCGGGTGTTAGACTTCAAGGTCGCGCACTAGACATAGTCGGCTCAGACGTTCTCATGACAATACTTCAGTAAGAAAATGAGCTAAACAAGAATATGGTATTTCCTTTTTTTTTTTTTATGGAAACCTTATAATTACTCGTACATAAACGGGGCTATTCGGACTAGTCCGTAAATGTCATTCGGATTATAGGAAGATGGATTGTGTTTATTGCATCACATAGAATTATTACCGACGTGTTTAAAATTTATATTGAAAAATAATTTAGTACTGGTGAGAGAAGTGTTGACTCAGAATCCGTTTAAAGATCGATGGGAAATAAAAAGTAATGTAAACAAGAAGAAAAATATTTTTCTCTTGTGAGAAAGCATCTAAATATTTTGTTATTGCAATGGTTAAAGATAAGAAACGATAACAATAACCCATGTGAGAACAATAATTTTAATAAGATTATTACTTGAATTTTCAACTCATGCCACTTTCACAAAATACTCTTAAATTCAAATGTACTTTAAACTGCTTAAATCAAACGTCTAATAGATTCAGCTCAGCTATCAGCGTTACCGTATAGAATGACATTTGCGACAATAATTTTTGTTTAGACCTTAGTCTGAATACTGTAAGGATAAGGTTACCGTATTCTTAAAGTGACGAGTGGCGATAACTCTCTAATATTATTTGAAAATGTCGTTATTAATTAATTCACAATGTCAGTATTAATTCACAAATGCCAGCAGCATATGACAGACGTCAGTATTATTTGACAAATGACAGTAATCCGTAACAAAATGACCAATTTAACGCCACAAGTGAGTATTAAGCTATACTAACGATATTGTGTGCTATACTGTCACTTATGTCACTTATCAGAATAAACAAACGCTAAAAGGGTCGTTTTGAATAAAAAGCATGAATTGAGCTAGACTAAACGATTGTGCCTATAAAATGTCCGTATTATTCGACAGAGATGACGATTTTATTTAATAAATTAATATTTTTGTTAATAAATAAAAAAAATATGTTACAGATGACAGTACCATTTAGCAAACGAAAGTATTATTTGGCAGATGACAGTATTATTTGACAGTATTATCGGAGCGGTGGCGTAGATGTCTAACGAATCCTACAGAAGACCATGTGCATTTATTTACATGGTTCTCTATAGGATTTGATGGATACCGTATTATCAGAAATTTAATTTCTGTTGATATCCCATCCAGATTGTAAAAATCGCCATGCGTTACCATTTCAATGATGGTGTGTGAGGTTTTCTGGGGTTTCCTCACCTGTAAGTCAAATGGCACCATCAATCATCTTTAATCCTTTCACTTCGGATGACTCATATATAAGTAAATCATTTTTTGTGATCCGAATGCTAACTACTTAAATATAAGTTTTTTAATTTTGTACCACAAACGCTAACCACTGATATATAAGATTTGCCGCATACATTTCATGATTATATTGCTAATAACTTATTTATTAGTACTTTGTGGGAAATAGCCGCATGCATATGCATTTCAGTTAAATTTTAGGAAGGAATTTTAAGCGGGGTTTAATATTGAGTGTGATCGATATTGTATTTCAGTTACCCAGCAGGAGTTACTTGGCGAAGTATATATTAATAGTAATAATAATAATAGATTTTTTGTGGTGTTTCCGTGTAATAGGAAGCTACTGGACAATGATTCACTTGAAAAATCATTATTGAACAGTGATGACGAAAATATGTCTTTTGCGGAGGAAAATACTCTGAGAGATGGTCTTCGGGAAGTGAGGAAGACGAGTATAAAACAAATTAAACAAAACAATAAAAACATGTATTATTTTCATTTACCTAAATAAATAAGATCTATTTAACACCACTTTAAAGCGCGCAAAAACGCCCGGACTGGGAGAACCTGCTACTGCGGAGAGCCGCACCACGGTAAAGTCAATCTCACAGCGCATCGCAGTGAAAGGACTAAGTGGCCCCGGAGCGCCACAGCAAATAATAATAATCGCCCTCCCTTTCCCCGGACAAACTCAGCTTTTGGGGTTAAAATTCACTCGTAAGGGGGTGAATTAGGGAGTATTACTAATATTATTACATCACATTGTCAGTATTAATTGACAAATGACAATATTATTTGACAACGGAGAGTATTATTTAATAATGTCCATATTATTTCACAAATGACAGTATTATTTCACAAATGACAGTATTATTTCATAAATTACAGTATTATTTGACAAATGACTCTAATATTTGAAAAATGATAGTATTACTTGACAGATGACAGTATTATTTGACAGCTGACAGTATTATTTGACATATGACAGTATCATTTGACATGATAGTATTATTTTCCGGATGACAATACCATTCGACAAATGACAGTATTATTTAACACACGACAATATATGACAATGTCATTATTTATTAGCACTGTCAGTATTAATTGACAAATGACATCAATATTTGACAAATGGTAGTATTATTTGCCAAATGACAGTATTATTTAAAAAACAACAGTTTTATTTTACAAGACAGTATTATTTGACAGATGACGGTATTATTTGACTGATGGCAGTATTGACAAACGACAGTATTCATTGACAAATAATAGTATTATTTGAAAAATAACAGTATTATTTAACAGATGACGGCTAACGAATGAAAAATTGACAGAAAATGATTATAAGTATATTTTGTACCGACCTTGGTGCAGTGGGCGGCAGCCTCAAAGTAGCAGTCCTTAGAGACGAGGAATATGGACCGGCGGCGACTTCGTTTACAGCTTGAATCTTGATCTTGTAGTTCGTTTCGGGCTGCAAACCTTCGATGGTGTATTCATTGACGGGGCCCTCTGTCGATATCGTTCTGTCACCGATTTCTATGTTGTAATTGATTATCGGACTGCCGTTCTATGAACCAAAAAAAATATTAAAATAGTGCAAGTCGATCAAATAACTGTCAAAATTATCATACCTCAGCCGGAGTGTTCCAATGGAGAGTGATCGAAGTAGGCGTGGTGTCCGGTTTCACGACGGTGACGGCAGACGGAGGTGCTGCCGGCGTCAAAGTAGCCGCTACCGGAGAATATCCGCTGAATCCGGCGCTATTACCGGCTTGCACTCTAAAGCAGTAGGAATGGAAGGGCGTTAGGCCTTTAACGTCGTAGTTCAATTGCGGACCTTGATACACGCTCGAGAATTTCTCCTCGTTCATATCCGGACTCATTTCTAACCTATATTCGCCAACTGGGGCACCGTTGCTCCTTGGCTCCGTCCATTCGACATAGACCTGGTGCGGACTCTTGCACATCAATAACGGCATCTCGGGCGCGCAAGGAGGAGCCGCTCCACTCGTCATTCTCAATGGTTCCGACCATGTACCGGGTCCTATCCTGTTCACCGCTCTGGCTTGGAAGATGTAATCGCAACCCGGGCTGAGAGATGTCGCCGTGCATTCGGTCTCTTTGCTCTTGTGCACGAGGCTTTGATCGCCGTCGGGCGACGTCATTTCCACTTCGTAGTCCAAAATGGGGGCCCCGCCGTTGTAATCTGGTTCCATCTAAAAAACAACGAATAAAAAAATGACGTTGATGCATTACGATGTCGGACCGAAGACTAAACCATCTTCGTGCATTATGAAGTTATATAAATTTAAGTCGGACCGAAGACTAAACATGTTAAAACGTCAATTGTCTTATGTCTGCTGTCACTTGTCTTAGACGATCCTAAACGTTTCTAGACAATTATATTGTTTCAGAATCTTTATATCCATAAAAAAGGGTAAAATTAGAATAATATATTTCTTGTATCTGCATCACATGTAAATGAAACTTTCACTTATTTTTTTTATGTTCATTCTGAATTACTTATTTTATTTAACGTAAACAAAAATTTTTATAAGAATAAACATTATTATGCTATAAATGTTGTTGCAAGCAAAAAAAGGGATTAAACAAAATAATAAAACACCTAGATAAAACAAAAACGTTTCTAAGCATCTTGTAGACGGAAACTTCGTACTTACCCATCGGATGGTGACTTGATTGGCTAATGGTTTTCCGACTATCCTCGGTTGCGAGCACTGTCCCGGACTGACAGCGTCTGTAGTCACCGTACAGGGATCAGAAAAGTTGCTGACACCGCCGGCGCTCACGCAACTCACCCTGAGCTGATAAGTCGTTCCCGGTGTTAGTTTATCACAGACTGCTTCCGTTTCTAGGCCCTGGTAGACTGTTTCGTAGCCGCTACCCGAATTTACTTCTAAAATGTACCTAGAATAGAACAAAATTCATTAATACTGATGTACAATAGCAGTTGAATTAATGACAAAAGTTGACAGGTGATAGAAACGACTTACATGGTTATCTCAGATCCTCCAGTATGATTAGGCGACTCCCATTTTAACTTGAATGAATGTGCGTGTATCCGTCCTTTCACTACAGGTTTGGAAGGCCTCGAAGGCTTGTCAGGCAAGGTACTGTACGTCACTTCGTCCGACCACGGGGAAGTCCCACTTTCATTCTTTGATCTCAACCTAAAACACAGAGTTAAAAATAAAACACTGATTTTGGTCATCATACTTGCAATTTTCCGGAACGGTATATAGAACAAACTAACCAACATTTATTGACAATATTTAACAAACATAACTTACCTAAAAGCATAACTACTGCACTCCCTCAGTCCCCTGCAGATGTGCTGGTTCTCGTTACCCAAATAGACGTTCAGGAAACCGTACTTCGTCTCGATATCGTTCATCTGTAGAATGAATTCGTCGTCTTTGGGCCTCCTCTGCCAGAGCAGATGCAACGATTGGACGTTTGATTCGTGTAATGTCGGCGGATTGGGTTGAATCGGTGGATTGTCAAATGTGCTGTAAGCGATGCAGTCCGAGTATAGACTTTTGCCTACATCGTTGAGAGCTGCTAACCTACAATGAAAAATTCGGCATGTAAAAAATCTGTCCTATTTTGATACAAGTATGTGAAATCGTTATTATACATAATACATATACTACAAGTAGATGGGCAACGTTTATACGGCGATTTAAATAGGAAAGTGTTAGATTCCAGTATTTATTAGATACTCTTTACATATATTTACTAGACGCTCCCTATAATATGCTTGGGTATACAATACATTTTTGGTGATGAAAGATATTCAGCTAATAAGTCCATAAGTTGACAAAATAATTTTAAAATTAAAAAAGAAATATTAATTCGGGAAGTCATTATTCGCTGTTCAAGTATTAATAATTAATAAAGTTTATTTTTTAAAGTAAATTTCTATTGTCCCTTAGCTAATGTCAATATGTTAGAGAGAAAGGGCCCCGGTCGCAATGCCATCGAGCGAGATAGATGCATAAGTACATAATCTTACGTCACGTCACTCTCATCTACCACGTCGCGTATTATTATCTATGCATATATCTCGCTAGATTGCATATTTAAATATTTAGTTCCCTATACTTCCCGCCGTACACACGTTAGTCATATATTTATTTGACAAATGATGGTTTTATTTAACAAATCACAGTATTATGTATTTGACAAATGGCAGACGACAGTATTATTTGACAAATGACAGTATTATGTAAGGGAATTAGGCATTCCAAAGACTTGTCAAAAAATAGCTGCCAGTGGGAAGGTCTCGTATATCTAAGGGGTTAGCGACATAATCTTGCATATTAGACGCTATTTTTATTCGAAATAGTAGTTGCCAAGCCTGTCAATTTATGACAAAATATATAGGCGGTTTTTTTAAATATTTTTAATGTGTTCGACATAAAATATTTAAATGATTTTACGTATTGCAGATAAAATACGTATGTCGCAAACCTTAGATATACCAAACTTTCCCACTGGTAATTCATTTGTTTGGAATGCCTAATACTGTTTGTAGACTTTTGGATGGCCCTGTATATAGATATAGAATATAGATAGCTAACTTATGAAACTGAATATCAGCACAATTTCGTTGTAGATATTAAGTAAAACAGGGACGATGTTGAATGATTATAAAGACAGCATTGATAATATAAATTTCAGAGTCAAAATATTATTGTACTTTCAAGGTTGTGTGACCCAACCGACCCAGGTACCTTCATACTTTATTAATTCCATTTTATTAAAGATAAGTTGCAGTCTTCAAAATCCTTCATATAACGAACAATCTTTAGATAATTAAATCTTAACTATGATGCCTAATAAATAAAAGAAATATTTATGTTGTACGCGGGGCCTCTAATATTACATACGCAAGCCCAATAAACAGAAAAGATAAAGTTATTTCATGATAATCCGTCCAAAAATCCTCAATAAAACATATTTCTTTTCACGAAGTAATAATCATTAAAACATTTCGACATAAGAGAATTTCTCAAGACACGTAATAAATCTACCACCCCTTGTATCTACCCAAATTCATTCCCACCGAAGTTACGACAAACTCACGTCACAAAAAGTCATTCAAACGAATATAAATACCCGTTCCCCAGAAACTGGATATTTATTATTATTTTAAATCCAGTCTAATTCAGTTTCTTTTCAAATTTACTTATATTCGGTACCTTTCCTAAGCTGATGCTCTTCCTAAACCGACGCCTTTTCTACCCTATCTCCTATCAACTCTCCTAAGTCTCGACCTTCTACGTTCCAACGACCTATCTCCCGAACGTTTCACTTCCCGACGCTCAACGTCCCGCCGCCCTACTTCCGTACCTTTCTACACCTGACGACATATCTCCTAAACGCTGTCACGTTCCACACCACCTAAGTATTTCCTACCTTATATCCGACCCAACGCAGTACCGTAATACTTCTCTCTCCGGCACGACGCTAGGCGTCTCGACGCAAGGCGACGCGCAACGTTGCGACGTACCCAAAATCCACGCCGTCAGAACGCTAGAGAAAATTAGTACATAATGTTTATTTTAGACGAACCTAAAGTCTGTATTTACAATGTTGAGTCGGGCACGGTGGTGTAGCGGTCTATCGCGCTTATATTCATTTATAGGCAAGTTTATGAGTCTGAGATGCTGGGTTTCGAATCCCAGACCAGACCATGTGGATTTTTAATTAAATTGCATGGTTCGGTTTAGGATTTGATGTGTGGCGTATTAATAGAAATTCAATTTCTGTTGATATGACATGCAGATTAAAAAAATTCGCCATACATTACCGTCTCGATGATGGTGGGTGAGGTTTTCCGGGTTTTCCTCACCTGTAAGTCAAATGGCACCATCAATCATCTTTAAGTCGCCCCGGAGCGCCACGGCAAATAATAATAATATCCGTCCCTTTCCCCGGACAAGCTCAGCTTTTGGGGTTAAAATTCACTCGTAAGGGGGTGAATTAGGGAGAGTATTATTATTATTATTATTATTATTATTATTATTATTATTATTATATAAAAGGTTAGTGTAACTTTCTTTGAGATATCGCCTGAGTTTCATATTTGCTTCAAAGTATTATGTAACCCAATACACCACATGGCCTTCGGACATTCACCCCGAAAGACAATTAAATTAGACATCTGTTTTTCGATGGGTGAATTTGGGTCATTTAAATAGAAAATATAAAAATCAATATTTTAGAAATATACAGGGATGTATCGTCTTGGGTTAATTATGCACACAAATCTACACAAACCTAGGTTAAATATAATAGTAAAACTGGTGAATTGACATTGTTCGTTAGCTAAAGGGGCACCTATACTAGTCACCCATTCTACTAGGTTCGAAACATAAAGTATATGTGAACATCAACACAGTAAGTTAACCAACTGACGAATTGGCGCTGTTCGTTAACTTCGTTGGTCATCACCTCTATACTCGTCAAAATAAATATCTAAGAAAATATAATCATGTGTATACATAGGTTAGAATCAAGCTAAATAAAATACATCTTGATGAACGCTCCGCGTATTTGAGCGATACTCAGGTGAGATCTCGGTAAAAAGTACCAATTGTAATATACTTTGCAAATTATTGCGTTACATTTAAAATAAGAGTTTAAATATAAATTTTGTAAGGTTTTATTTACAAAATTGCGCCAAACTTTGCATCGAATCCTGGTTTATTTTAATTAACACTATCACAACGTCGGTATATAAATTATCAATTAACTAGACGATCACTACTACTAGATTCAATATACAGAATGGTGCATCATCTTGCAATGGCCTTACACAATCTTTGATCCTTCGTTGATATCATCACTTACCTAGGATAGATTAGATTATACTTATAACAGTGACATCACCCTATTATCCTAACCAATAACAAACGGAACCAAAAACAACCTTTTTCTGTCGAAAGTGGAACATGAAAAAGGCCGACTGGAATCTATTTCACAAAATAGTTGAAGAGAAAATAATTTAAACTATCAGCCGATATAGATGTCTCACTTGAGATCTTTGAAAATGTCATTAAACAAGCTGTCGACATATCAATTGAAAAAACTTAATATTCCAAGAAACATAACCCTGTTCCATGGTGGACACATGAATGCAAATCAGCTACAGATGCTAGTAAAAAAGCCTTTAACATGTATAAACGCCATAAAACTGTGGAAAATAAAATATAATTCTCAAGTCTACGCGCTAAACCTCGATACACCACAAAATGTGCCAAACGAAGTTCGTGGATCGAGTATGTATCAACTTTAAACTCTGATACTCCTATGACAGAAGTGTGTCAGAAGGTTCGACGAATATCTGGTGTGAATACCAACTTCAATATAAAAAGACTTGTAGTAGACAGAAATAATTTAACTACCAACGCGGAAATAGTCTCGTCATTAGTGTAAACTTATCAAAAACGTTCCAGCTTCAATAGTTATAATGAATCTTTTATACGGTATAAACAATTGGAAGATAATAAGACTATTACAATTACTTCTATCGATAATGAGCCACTAAATCTACCTCTTTCATCAGCAGAATATGAAGAAGTACTATCTAGTTTACGTGATACTTCCCCTGGACCGGACGATATACCAGCTAGTTTCCTTAAACATTTACCTACCAGAGCCCATGAATACCTTTTTCGATTATTTAACGTTATCTGGTGTCAACATGTTTTTCCCAAAAAAATGGCATGAATCTACAGTAATCCCTATACTAAAAAACCAGTGTCCAAAAACCAATCCAGAATCATATCTGTTAATTTCGCTAACATCCGCAATGTGCAAATTTATGGAAAAAATAATTAATAAAAGGTTGCTATGGACACAGAGAAACGCAACCTGATTATACCAGAAGAGAGTGGATTTAGACAACAACGCAGCACACTAGATAACATCATAGATTTAGAAAGCGAAATCAATGAATCACTTGCACTAAAGGGTAAATGTTTAGTTCTCTTTATTGAGCCTTTGACACTGCGTGGCATGACTATATAATTAAGAAACTATACAGCTGGAATATATTAGGCAACTACCTCTTCTTTGTTAAAAACTTTTTGACAAATAGATATTTTAAAGTAAAAACCAACGCCACTCTTTTTAATGAAATGATACTTGAAAGAGGTCTTCCCCAAGGTTCCACAATAAGCCCGACTCTTTTTATAATAGCTATTAATGATATACCTAAAAGGCCTTAAACCACCACTTAAAGCAGATGACTTAGTCGTATTTTGCAAGGGCAAGAACATAAACAATATTTTTTCACATACCCAACAATTTATTAACCAACTGGAGATTTGGTCACAGCAAATTGGCTTTACCTTTTCTACCGCAAAAATTCGTTACATCCTATTTTCTAAAATAAATGTTGCTGTCACACCTGAATTAACACTTCACAATAAAAATCTAAAAGTCAAATCATCCATAAAGTTTCTGAGAAAGACCTTTGACTCATCTTTAACATGGAACATTCACATTAAAAATCTGATCTTATCCTGGCACAAAAGACTCAATCTTCTAAAAATGCTTTCAAATAAAACCTGGGGAGCCGACCGTCAAACACTACTTACTTTATACCGAACATTAATACGCTCAAGATTGGACTACGGTTCGATCATCTATACATCTGCGTCCAAAACTTTAACTGCGCCTCTGAACACTATCCTCAATACAGCACTTCGATTAATCACAGGAGCATTTCGTACAGCCCCAGTTGAAAGTATATACTGCGATGTCGGTGAACCTTCCTTGGAGAACAGAAGACTAAATGTAAGCCTCGCCTATACAACGAAGATTAGGGCCTCTCCTACAAATCCTACCGTTGATAACTGTTTTTCCCAGAGATTTCACGCTCTATTCTCGGAACATCCTAGAACCTCCAAACCTTTCTATGACAGAATAAGAAGCTACCAAGAAAAAATGAACTACTCTATTCCTGAATGCCTACCAAATCACCTTAAGTTTACACCTCCTTGGCAAATAAAAAATCCCACATGTCTTACCTCGCTTACTGCATTTGACAAATACTCAACGAATACTCAACTTATCAAAACAAGTCTCAGCAATATCCTCTGCAAATTCGATTAATACTTACAGATTTTTACTGCTAAGCTGTTCGCCCTATACCAAGCATTAATAGTCGCTAATTCCTCAACTTCCCAAAACTCTGTTGTTCTCACAGACTCTCGTAGCTCTATATTTGCCTTACAACGCATCTTTGCCATCAACCCCTTGATTAGCAAAATAAAAGTGTAACTCTATTCGGCTCAGCTAAGGGAAAAAGACATCGTATTTATCTGGATACCATCTCACATAGGAATAAGTAGGAACGAGCAAGCAGACAAACTGGCCAAAAAAGCTGTGAATAGTGAAAGTGCCATACCGGATCAATTATTATTGAGTAGTGACGTAAAATCGTTAATTAAAGCAAAAGTGTTCAGTGCGTGGGAATCTAAGTGGTCGTCTTGTTTTTCTAAACTCAGTGAAATTGAAGGTGAAACAATGTGAAACCATGGTCATTACTCCCGAGAAAACGTTGTGATCAAATTTTACTATCCAGGCTACGTTTGGGTCATACACGACTAACGCACAGTTATTTATTTAGCTCTAAAATCGAACCAAAATGCAGCCACTGCGACATCAAGTTGACGGTAAAACATATAATCGTAGACTGTCCTTTTCTTGCACCTCAACGTATTGAATCAAACCTTCCCGCTGGTCCAATAGCTAACATTCTAGGCTCTGCGTACAATATAAACAGTATAAAAAGTTTTTTGAAATCCATCAACATACTACATTCTATTTAGGTAGTTATTCTTATGCTGTCATATTTCTTTTGTAAGTACTCCACCAATTTGTAACTTACAATTCGCTAATAACCTTTGTGGTTGATAAAAACTGCTACTGGAGGAAAAAGGCCAAATACTGTAAGTATAGGAATTAAAGTAAAACAAAATTAAATAATAATAAGACTTCAGATTTAAACAAAAATCAAAGGGGTATGGGGGGGTGGGCGGTTACAGCTTAGTCAATATATTTTTATATATTCATATGGTTTTTCTTACAATTATTTGACAAATGACAGTATTCTTTGACGCAGTGGTTAATATTTTTGAATGTGTTATTTTGTCGACATTATTGTGGTAATCTCAGCTTTAAAATATCTTTATCTTTTATTTATCTTCTAATCCAGGACCCTCTAAACGTTGCTCTGGTTAAAATAATTCAAATGCCCTGAGGAAATAGAAACTTCGGCCTTTGATCTACTGAATATATTATCATTTCTTCTCTATTTGAGCCATACGGAGAAATTGTGCTTATTTTGATTAATATTCTCGGATTTCCTTTCTAAATTAGTCTGTCCAAATATTTACATTTGTCATGTTCCGTGAAAACAATATTGATGCGGCATTCCTGCATATCCGATTAGTAATATTATTACGAAAAATGAATACAGAAAACAGGAAAAAACAATTAAAACCTCGATTTTATTTACGCATTATCCGTAAAACTGTAATGGATCATTATTTACCGACACATAGCAACAAGCGTAATTGTTTTAAATGTCGTAAAAAACAAACGAAAGGTCAAATTTGGCAATAAAAAAATTGTACCGGATAAAATGCCGGTCATTAAACCAATTCATCGACATCTATAATATTTAAGATAAATATAATGTACGACATTGAATATATGGGGAGTACTACGAGGGCTCGTCTTTATGTTCTCGGGCTAGGCATGACAACAAAAGACTAGAACAAAATTATTAATTTATTTTTCAATATAATGAAAATAATAATAAAATTGGTAATATTTTGATAGTTCTGCCATTTCCGCGTATAATGGACGTAGACGTTAACAATTTTTTGGATAAATGTATTATTTTCTACGGGTGTGACGTTATCCACATTCACAAATGTACACTGAGAAAAATATAGCTCTATCGAAATAGTCATATAACTTGGTTCAAATGACTTGTAGAGGCTTTTCATTTGCAGATTTCAATTGGAGAGGTTTCAATACATGACAAAAATCAAAGGGGTATGGGGGGGTGGGCGGTTACAGCTTAGTCAATATATTTTTATATATTCATATGGTTTTTCTTACAATTATTTGACAAATGACAGTATTCTTTGACGCAGTGGTTAAATATTTTTGAATGTGTTATTTTGTCGACATACCCTCAATTAACTTTTGCTCCGTCTGAGGGGATGCAATTGGGGTGAAATTTAAAAAAATTATAGAACCCACAAATGGCATTGTACACCTTTCTGCTTGAGATATGTTGTGTAGTTTATTCTTTTCTTTATCCCTGATACCATGCTGGAGTTTGTCGAACAGTCTAATGGACTGCAATTGAGGATGAAATTTAAAAAATCATGGAAGCCACAAATGGCTTTGTACAACTTTCTGTTTGGGATATGTTATGTAGTTTGCTCTTTTATTCATCCCCGATACCATTCTGGAGTTTGTCGAGCCGTCTAAGGGGGTACAATTGGGGTGAAATTTAAAAAATCATAGAAGTCACAAATGGCTTTGTACCCCTTTCTTCTTAAGATTTGTTATGAAATTTGATCTTTTCTTCATCCCTGATACCATGCTAAAGTTTGTCGAGCCGTATGAAGAGGTGCAATTGGGGGTGAAATTTAAAAAAATAGAAGTTACAAATGACTTTGTAAAACTTTTGCTTGATATATGTTATGTAGTTTGCTCTTTTCTTCATCCCTGATACCATGCTGGAGTTTGTCAAGCCATCTAAGGAGGTGAAATTAAACAAAAATCATAGAAGCAACAAATGGCTTTGTCCACCTTTGAAGAAAAGAGCAAACTACATAACATATCTCAAGCAGAAAGGTGTACAAAGCCATTTGTGACTTCTATAATTTTTTTAAATTAAATCGTTGTGAATGTGTCTTATTTTATCAATAATAATACAATTATTTTACATTGTACAAAATATAAAAAAAATCTCAACACCCGCCAAATAAAATACCTGGATACGCCGTTGATTTCTGTGATTTCGAATGAAAGAATCATGGTAATAAAAATCAAATTTGAATTGCTTACCTGAAGGTGTACAACGTTGCCGGTAGCAATTTTTGCAACGTATGCGTTTTACTCCTGCCCCTGTAGAACTCGACGAACTCGCCCCCCTTGCCCTCGTCGTACTCCAAGATGTAGCAGTTGATGTGGGCGCCGTTGTCGTTGACCGCGTTCCATCTTAATTGGAGCGAATTTTTGGTTCTGTGCAAAAGTTTCGGGGGTTGGGGTTGGTCGGGCTCGCAAGGGGGCGTGATAAATTTCACTGGATCGGTAGCGGAGCCTTGGATTTCGTCCAGGTGCACCTGAAAATTGAGGAAAATCGGTCGAATAAATTGGGTCGGTTTCCGTTCTTAAATGATAAATTAAAACAACCTAATTATTTTTTTAAACGCATTTTTTTTCTCTCGGAATAGATAATTTTAACATATACAGAGTGTTTTATAAACATGCCGCAAAAATTCAAGAGGTGGTTCCTTGGACTATTCTAAGAATATTTTGTCCTTTGATGATTTTTGAAAGTCCGTTTTGTTAAGGAGATACAGGGCGAACAAAATTTTACACAATAACATCATTTTATTACCAAAAAAATACACGTAAGTGTTATTTAATCTACAAGAACTGTTGAAAATGACTACCTCCACCCAGTTACACCCAGCAATTATCCGAATTCGCAAGTCTTCCACATTTTCTACTGGAGTAGTACACTAATGACTTTAGATGGCTCCATACGAAATATTTCAAGGGATTTAAGTCCGGGGAACAAGCGGGCCATAAATGAGGTCCTCCATGACCAATCCAGCGATCTCCGTATTTTAGTGTCAGAAGCTGACGAGCAACCAAACTGAAATGCGCTGGTGCACCATCATGCATAAACCACATTGCATTTTTTATTGCTAATGGTACATCATCCAGAAAATCAGGTAGAGTTTGTTCTAAAAAGTTGCGATACACTTCACCGGTAAGTCTTGCTGGTAGAAATACCGGCCAGTCACCCACAATTCTAATCCAAACATTCAACGAGAACTGATGTTGAAAACGATCTTCAATTACCTCATGTGGATTTTCGTCAGCCCATATATGGTTATTGTGAAAATTCTTTATTGCATTTCTTGAGAAATTCGCTTCATCGGTAAAAAGAATAAGCGTCAGTAGTTGAGGAATTTGAACTAATGTGTGCAAAAGTCATTGACTAAATGCAATACGTGGAGGAAAATCAGCAGGAAGAAGTACCTGAGCGCGTTGTATGTGGTATGGATATAACAAATTGTCCCAAATTTTCCAAACAGTCGAATAACTCACATTCAAAGTATTTGCAATTTTTCGAGTAGAAGTACTCGGATCTTCCTCGATCATGTTCAGCACATTTTCTTCCACTTACACCGTTCTTGCTGTATTTGGCCTTCCTGGCCCTCCACTTCGTCTCAATGCGCCTGTGTCATGAAGACGTTGATGAATATTTTGGAACATTTTTCTATCAGGAATATTACGGTCAGGAAATCGTCCAATGTACAACCTCTTAGCTTCTAATGATTTTCCATCAGCAAGACCATAAATGTAATGCATGTCAGTCATCTCGGGATTTGTATAGTGATTCATGATAAAGTCAGTAACAAAAATGTTAACTATCAAATGATCAATCACTAGACGAATTTAAATGAAATCTAGATTTAATCTGAATTTCTTTACGATGTCTGAACTTTCGCCTGTTTTAAGTGGAAAAAATAGCCGTTTTTAGTAATTGGAATGTTGTTAAAAAATAATAAAAATAACGAATTTTTAAAAAAGTTGTATGTTCTTGGTTAACAGTACCTATTTTTATTTAGACTATTAATTTATTTTAAAAATAATAAAAATAGTTTTCTCGAAAATGTATCTCCTAAACGAAACGGAATTTTAAAAATCATCAAAAACAAAATATTCTTAGAATAGTCCAAGGAACAATCCCTTAAATTTTTGCAGCATGTTTAAAAAACACCCTGTATATAGTATACGAGGCGTCAAAGTCGTTCAACCGACAGATCTGTAGCGCATACTAATAGATATTAAATAAGATACGTTTTTTAAATACAAGACACTGTCTAGAAGTTATAGTTCCTGCCATAGCACCAGAGGGCGCTACCATCGCAATAATATAATTAAACCCAATAAACTGTTTATTTGAAAAAATGTACAAAAATTGATATAATATAATAAATATCACTACTTATCTAAAAAATAATAACATTTTTTTTATTATAAATAAACTATCCAATGCCATAAAGTATAAAACTTTCTGCGGCGTACATTTATTTCGTCATTTTGTAAATTTTGTAAATTTCGTAATATCGTAAAATTCGTAAAATTCTTAATATTCGTAAAGCTGTAAATTTCGTAAAATTCGTAAAAATATTGTAATATCGTAATTTTGTTGTAATTTTGTTGTAATTTTGTTGTAATTTTGTTGTAATTTTGTTTTAATTTTGTTGTAATTTTGTTGTAATTTTGTTGTAATTTTGTTGTAATTTTGTTGTAATTTTGTTGTAATTTTGTTGTAATTTAGTTGTAATTTAGTTGTAATTTAGTTGTAATTTTGTTGTAATTTTGTTGTAATTTTGTTGTAATTTTGTTGTAATTTTGTTGTAATTTTGTTGTAATTTTGTTGTAATTTTGTTGTAATTTTGTTGTAATTTTGTTGTAATTTTGTTGTAATTCAGTTGTAATTTAGTTGTAATTTAGTTGTAATTTAGTTGTAATTTAGTTGTAATTTAGTTGTAATTTAGTTGTAATTTAGTTGTAATTTAGTTGTAATTTTGTTGTAATTTTGTTGTAATTTTGTTGTAATTTTGTTGTAATTTTGTTGTAATTTTGTTGTAATTTTGTTGTAATTTTGTTGTAATTTTGTTGTAATTTTGTTGTAATTTTGTTGTAATTTTGTTGTAATTTAGTTGTAATTTAGTTGTAATTTAGTTGTAATTTAGTTGTAATTTAGTTGTAATTTTGTTGTAATTTTGTTGTAATTTTGTTGTAATTTTGTTGTAATTTTGTTGTAATTTTGTTGTAATTTTGTTGTAATTTTGTTGTAATTTTGTTGTAATTTTGTTGTAATTTTGTTGTAATTTTGTTGTAATTTTGTTGTAATTTTGTTGTAATTTTGTTGTAATTTTGTTGTAATTTTGTTGTAATTTTGTTGTAATTTTGTTGTAATTTTGTTGTAATTTTGTTGTAATTTTGTTGTAATTTTGTTGTAATTTTTTAATTATGCTCCATACTATGTTCATACTATTGCTGAGTTATTTAAAAGAAAGATTTGACAACCTCGTAAAAAATTAAAAGCGAAATGACTTTTGGCATAAGATATATTTTATATAAGTTAATTTATTTTTAAATATGTAATTCTCCCTCCATAATTAGATTCATTTGCAAGTTTCATAGATAGATAAGTTATTTTTGGTTAAGAAGATGAAAAAGTCTTCTAATTTGATGTAATTAGTATTCATTTAAATTAATATTAGGTGTTAGACTTCTTTAAGGACATGGTTTATCATTGCTTTTTTAGTCTCAACGAAATACAAGATTTTATATTGTATCGATTTTCAATTCTTTTTTAATATTTGTAAGAAAAAATTACAGATCCGGAAAGACTTAAGTATTCGTTTCGACAAAATCCCCAGGTAAGTATTTTTTTTTTAAATATATTTTATAAAAACAATAATTTACAAATAAATACAAATGTAAATACAAAGTAAATAAATGAATGCGTGTTCGGAAAAACGCTTGGACACGTCGATTGGTATTTTTAGTTGTGCATGTAACAGTGGCCAATACCAACTTTCTTATTTTAAATGCAACACCCTGTATATTTTTCAATGTTTGGATTCTTCAGAAAATTCTATACCTATTTTATGTTTTTCCACACTGTATAATATGTTTAAGATCAAGAGTGTCGGTATATTAAAATCCAAAATATCCAACTTACTAAAATGGTCACAACTACGTGTATTTTGATTTGAATGATTTGTTACATTCTCATATTTAATTTAAATATTTACTGGTTTAAAACCGGTTATTAAAAATATACAAAATACTTGTAGAAATACTTTGTTGAAGACGACAATTTGATGTCATTACCAGTTTGAAAGTGGAGGACCCATAAAGTTTAATTATGGCTTTTCAGAATTGTCATTTTTACAAATTCATTGGTTTAAAACTAATCCGAACCTTAAAGTGGCATTTATTGGTACATTCGCCCTAGTTGTGTAATATTTTTTAAAAAAGATTTTTTCTGCTTTTTTTGCCTTGTCTTAAAGTGGTCCATTTCGTGGGCTACCTTGAGAGAAAATCAAACTTTTTTAATTTATTTATAAAAAAAAACATTATAATGTTATGTTAATAATTTATTATGTGTACGATCAGATGAAAAATTATAAAGCATAAGTAACTATAGCAAAAAATGAAAATTACGACTTCTATCCCCAAAAAAGTAAAAATTGTGTCAATGTGGCCCACCCTCCCCTACTTATAAAGTTGTATTATGCGTTCCCAGAGACATGACACCTTCATCTATAAAAATACATAAATTCAAACCATTTTTCAAAAAGGCAGTAAATTTTCAGAAATTATACAAAGCAGTTGTATAAATTAGGGTGACCAGACGTCAGGATAAAGCCGGACATGTCCGGCTTTTTCGCTTAAATGAAAACGTCAGGCCGGCTTTTTGTCGTGTCCGGCTTTTTATCAATCGAAAATTCTAAATAACTAGAAACGCACATTATCATCTTGGTTCCGACTTTCTCAAGCTGGCAAGTGCGCAGTGGACCAAAAAAAGAAACCGTTTATCTATCTATCGAATCAATAAAAAGCCTCATGTAATGTTAAAATTTAATTTAAAAACGTTTTGTGCGGAATATTATAATTATTTGATGGACAATCCCAATATTTTAAAAGAAATTGGTTCTTCTGAAAAGTATAAGTAGTTTTTACCTAAGTAAAAAATGTTACATTTTTTTATATAAATATATTTGTTAAATGTCAGGTTTTTTTTATTAAAAATCAGGCTTTTTTTTGTTCTGGTTGTCCTACTTTTCTGCAAATAAATCTGGTCACCCTATATAAATGATTTGCTTAAGCATGCAATTCAGTATCTATGAGTTTCCAGATGTGCGACATCTTTAAAAATTAATTAGAAACAGAATAGACCATAAACAGTTTATTTGGTTTGAGTTTGTAAATAAATAAGTAATAAAAATAGTCATAAAAAATTGAGAAAGAAAAGACACTACCATAACTTGGAATTATACATTTTTAATAGCTGCCGTTATTTTTT